AAGGAGCTCTTTTGCTTTTTCTTGTTTTGTTTTGTTTTGGTCCTATACCGATTTCTGTTTTTTTTTTTTTTTTTTTTTTTTGCTTCTTTTTGATGTTTCTTTTGCTTTTGCTTTTTTCTTTTTTTTCCGGGTTTCGTGGTGTTGCTCCGTGCTCGGCTTCTGATGAGTAGATTGGGACCCCCCGACTGGTTGGAACCAGAAGTCCGTGGCTTGAGACCGACGCAATCTTGTGGTTTGGATGCGCTGATCTTCATCCGATCGGAGTAAGTCATAGTAAAAGTGGTGGTGGAGAAGAAAGAGGAAGAGCAGATCAGCCAATCCGCCCAAACATGTGACTGCCTTTCGTCCACTTTCTTCCTCAGGCATACTCAGGCTGTCCCCATCCCCTTCGAAGTTCCTTTCGTCTCATTTATTGACCCTGTGGTTCCTGCCTTAGTCCTCTTCGCATCGTCCAGTCGTGACCGGGATGGCAGAGTGGCGACTACTTTTACTCCAAAACAATCAGCTGAGTGCATCGCAAATATTCTAATTCTGATAGTAAATGCGGTCGGTCTAAATACAGAGAATCGAACGGTGAAGTCCGGCTATATACATACAACCACAACCACCGTCGACAAGAGAGTCCAGTCACCGGCCTATCTAGGCGTAGGTGGGCCAGACAGTGACGGTAGAAGTGGTGGTGGTAACCACGGCTTCGGTCGTCGTAGTCCAGGCGGTCGAGGTCACCCACACGGTGGTGGTCGAGGCACCGGAGCCGGCCTGAGTAGCCACAGCCTTGTGGGCAGTCACAGAGGCAGAGCCCGAGAAGCTATCCTCAGGGTTGGTCTCCTCCTCGTCATCCTCATCGTCACAGTCGGGCAAGTCCTCGTCATCCTCATCGTCATCGGAGGCAGAGGCAGAGCTGGAAGAAGCAGCGCTGGACGCGGAGGTAGCAGTGGCGGTCGCCTCGGCGGCAACGCTGGCAGCGGTGGTCTCGGGAGTAGCCGTCGCAATGCTGACAGCAACCGAGGACTCGGTAGCAGATGCATAATGGGCAGCAGCGGTAGAGGCCGCCGAAACAGCAATAGACGAGCTGGCGCTAACGGCATCCGTGCCCTGGGCGATGATGCGGGCCACAGCGGCCTCCGCGGCAATCATGACGATGGCCTGAGTGTTCCCGGTGGGCAGATCGGGGTGGATACTGGCATCAACGACGTACTAGAGAAACGGTTAGCTCACTGTGCGATGCCATCGGTTCAGAAGTGCATCCTTACCAAGTTCTCGGTACCGTACACCTTGGTGTTGAGATCAACGACAGAAGTGCCGTTGCTGACACGTCCATCGTCAGTGCCAATCTTCGCAGTGCCGACAAAGTGGTCACCGCTGGTCATCAGGTTAAGGATACCGGAAGCGGTCGAGGTTCCGGAGATGGAGAAGCCGGAGGTGGAGTTGCTGATGTCGTCGATCAAGCTCTGGAAGAAGCGGGTCACAGCTTCCTTGTCCGCGGCAGTCTGCAGCCAGGGGTCGGTCTCGAGGGTGGTGGTGCCGGAGCTGTCGATGCCAAGGACACCGGTCGAGGTGGCACCGTGGGTCAGGTACAGCTTCATGGTGATCACACCGTCCGTGCTGGTGCTGCAGGAAGCCTGGTAGAAACGAGTAATGCCATCGGTTCCAACGTTGGAGGTCCAGAACTGGAGACGGTGGCCACCCTGGGTGAGGACACCGGAGCCCTCCGCGAAAAGCTTCTGGGCGGCGGCACTGGGGCCGGGAACCACACTGGAGGTGTTGAAGTGGGTGAAGTTGCTGTTGGTGTTGACGGTGACGGTGAACATGGGGTGGTCCCGGAGGTTCTGGCCAACAGGCAGGTTGATCCACTCAGAGGAAGGAGGGAGGGTGATACCAGTGTTGCCGCTCTTGACAGTCTGGATCTGCTCGGTGGGGCCAATACCGGAGTTGAACAGGATGCGAGGGGTAGACATGGAACCCGCAGCAAGGACAACCTTACCACCAGCATTCAGGTTGATGATCTCGATGCCACCAGAGCTGGTCTCGACCTCAACGCCAGTAACGCGGGCGCTGCGGCGTACAAGACGGCGGACCTTGGTGCTTGTGCGAAGGCTGAAGTTGTCAAGGTCCTGGACCAAGGGGAGGTAGGAGCGGACAGGACCAGCGCGGATACCATTGCCGACATCCCACGAGGGGTAGCTGTACACCATGTGCTTCTCATTGGGCTGCTTCTGGGAGTCAACAGACTTCCATCCAAGACCCTTCAGGAAGCCAGAAAGAACAGTGTACATGCCCTGATCGTACCGCTTGCCGTCGGCCGAGGGAAGAGTGCTTCCGGGGTTGAGCGCGTACAGACGGTTAGCAGCCGCCTCAATGTCCTTCCACTTCCAGCCGGTGGGCCACTTGTCGTCGAAATCGGCCTCCTGGGGGTGGATGAAGGATTCGGCGTTGACAATGGTACCACCACCCAGAACACAACCAGCCATACCCGCAGTATCGTCGCAGAGGTAGTCGCCCATCAAGTTGAGGGAGGTGAGGGAGCTGCCGAGGGCAGGGATATCGAAAGGAGTCATGGAGGAGTTCCACGAAAGAGCATCGGTCGCACCCAGCTCCGTGGTAGGAGCCACACCACGCTCGATCAGCAGGACCTTCTTGCTGGTCTCAGCCAAACGCTCAGCGGCAACGATACCGGCAGCACCGCCTCCGACAACAATGTAATCATAGGTCGTGTTCGAAACCGTGGCGACGACACTGGCCGAGGCACTGGCAGAAGGGCTGGTAACCGAGGCGGACGCAGAGGCAGTAGACGTGCTCGAGACGGCTTTCGCAGCCCAGGTGGCGTAGCTAGACGACTTGGCCTTGGACAGGTAGACTTCGAAGCCACCGTAACCGGCTCCGTGGAAAGGCATGGCAGAGGAATCGGAGGAGGGGGTAGTAGGGCTGGTCGTACTGAGACCCCAGCCGAAGTAATAAGTGTCTTCGGTGGCGCCGAAGGTAGTGGGCTCGCCGAGAATGCAGTTCTCGCACAGGAAGGTATAGGTGAGGAAAGTGCTGTTGACGGAGGTTCCCTCGGGGATTTCGAGAATGCTGGCATCGCCGCTGTAAACCTCGGGGCTGGAGTAGGCACTGGTCTCGCGGAGGGTTCCGACAGCAGAGTCGCCGTTGGCCCAGGCTGCGATGAGGAGAGCCTTGGTCATGGAACCGGACATACTGACACCACCCCATCCCTTAGAGCTGTCGAGAGGCACACTCAGCTGACCGATGAAGCTCTTCTCCACGGTCTCAGGCAGCGCAATACCGAAACAGAAGCCCGTATCTGAGTCGCACCATCTTTGGAAGTCCATGCCGGAAACCGAGTCACTGTAGGCGGAAGTAGCGGTGGCTGCGGCGGAGGCACCGAGCGCAGAGCTCAGGGCCACAGCGCCGCTAAGAATGTAGGAACGCATCCTGAAGTGAATTGTTCGGAAGAGAAGAACGAGCAAAAGATGCTATAGACCAGATAGGGTCGGAAAGATACCTAATCAAAGGTGAGAGAATGAGATAGAAACCTTGAGGGGGAAAGCTGGCCCAGCAGCAACCCGGAAAAGAGTGGCGGCAAAAAGAAAGTGCCCAAAAAAGAAAGGAAAAAAAAAAAAAAAGAAGGACCGAAAAGAATGGGAGAGAATGGGTTGAAACGTTTGAAAGCCGGTGGAAGTCCATTTCGAGGCGGACCACGGCATTCATATAGATTCCTGCTCGAGGCCGACGTGGGGACGGGGCCGGCCATCGTGTGAGGAAAGCGGAGGCGTAACGGTGATTGAAGGGTGGTCAGAGGATAAGGCTAATGCGTTGAAGATATTGATTGTGGACACGCATGCCCACCTCGAAGGCGTCTAGTCTGCTCCCTTCCAGCGATATGACCGTCTAGAACCCAGGCTGTGAGTGGCTTCGACGCAAAATAAGCAATGTCCAGCGGGCCCTGGGCGTTTCTCGGAGAGCGGCGGTGGAGTGGGACATGCCAAGCATCCCTAGTCGGCGTGTGTTTCACGAGCAGACATCGGTGGTTTGAGCGTTAGAGCACCCCTGTGCCTGGGAAAAGCCAAGCTCATCTATATCAAACAGACTCCTGGCCGGAGTTCGCGCCGGAGTGGATTGATCACAAAACCCGCGTCGCCTATTGGCCTCCCTGGGCGTCGGATGAATAATGAAGGTCCCCAGTGGGTGGAGGACAGCCCCCATTGTCGACAGGCATTTCCCACCAGGTCATGATATCGGACAGGTACAGTGACGATGCCAAGAGCTGCCTACTGTCTTAGACTATTCACCACTCCAGTCGTTGGTGCCTAGGGAGTTTTCTGTTCAGCAAGGCGGTTGCAAGCATCTAGACAGGAGGATGGATAAGATCAAAACATACCTAACACTTGATTTGGTTTTTGGACTCAACAGACTGTTTCTGACCGCCGGGGATGAAATCGTACTGAAGCCTGTTGCAGAATTCTGAGACAGACAAAGTGTCAGGTCAGAGAAGATGGATGGTTGAAGACGGAGAGGGGAGGGCATTTGGAAATTAGGAGGGGAAACCTCGGCCGGGCTCCGAGTGGGTCCCACCACCCAGGGAGAGAAAGATAGGGCAACCGGCCGACCAACCGGCGACAGGATCATACTCATCACAGCATCACAGCGGGGCAACTTTCATCGATAAATCATTTCATTACTACGGAGTACTCTACAGGCAGAGAGACGTGCGCTAAAAACGTAGGTACCAACCAACTGTACAGCTGCCTTCTAAGATCACTCCGTTGGCATCCCACATCCACCATCTGCTACGCTAGCCGTCCTGCTATCGTCAAATACAGTGCTTCGACCAATCTGGCTGCATATTGACTCTAAAGAAAAATGAAAAGAAGAGAAGAGAAGAAAAGGGGCCCGTCTGAAGAAAGAAAAGGCTTTCGGTGAGGATTGACAAGCATGAGCAAACATGCACTGGTAGATGAACTATTTAAACAAGAACCATGCCAGCTCCGAACAAGGTCGACATGACGGTGACCAGGCCCACAATGACAGGGGTCATGGTCAGGTGGGGCACGTACAGGCCAGCAGCAGCGCCTGGAGAGCTGGACGAGGTTCCGCTGCCGGAAGAGCTAGAGCCACTGCTTGAGGAGGAAGAGGTGCCAGATCCAGGGGTGGCGGTGCTGGTAGAAGCAGTTCCAGCGTTCATGCTCCCGGAGCCAGAGAATCCAACACCCTTGCCAGCACCCTCGGTCATGTACTTCTTGGCGGGCTCGGGAATGGCAGGAAGCGAGTCGTTCTCAACATCCCAGTTGGGAGAATCCTTCGCAGGGCAAGGGTTGGCGCCTCCAGTCTTGTTGTAGCCACCGTCGCCAGTGGGGCTCTTGGTCTTGGCCAGAGCAGACTTGAGCGCATCGTAGTCATCCAAGGTGCTGACCTTGCCGTCCTTGATCTGGACGAGACCGTAGTTGCTGGGCTCTTCCGAGTACTCGTAGACGAGACCACCGGAGTAGACGCCAGTCATGTCGGTGCTGTACAAGGAGCTGACCTCCTCGAACTTGCGGGTGTTGGTGTTGCAGCCGTACTCGGATAAGAAGAGAGGAAGACCGTATCCAGTGAAGTTCTTGACCTTCTGATCCCAGCCGGAGGTGGTGAAAGAAGACGGGTCACACCAAGAGTAGTCGTTGAAGGCGAAGAAGTCGCTGCGCTCATCGTCTGTACCGCAGTTCATGTACTCGGCCATCTGAAGACGGTTCGTGTCGATATCGGCCTAAATAAACAAACCTCTGGTCAGTCTTTTTTCGTGCTCTTCGTTTCATCGTGATATGACTTGACTACATACAGCAGAGTATCCGACAGGGATTTCACGGTACTTGCGGCTGCGGATGTACTGGCGAAGATCACGCGTAACCGCCTTGACATAGGGGGCAGCACTCGACGAGGGACCGTCGTTGATGACCTCGTTTCCAGAGAAGAAGGCGAGAGTGTTCTTGTAATTGGCGAACTTGTCGACCGTGGCGAAGATGTACTGAAGGTAGACATCGTTGTAGGAGGGCTTCGGGTCGGCCCGGTTGAGAGAGTACTTGGGAGTGTTGACGTCGAGGACCAGGTAGATGCCAGCATCTGCCAGAGCGTTCATGCACTCGTCGTGGTCCGCGGAGTTGTCGACGGAGTAGACACGGATGGTGTTCAAGCCGAGCTCGGTGAACTTGGCGATGTCGCGCTTGCAGCCTTCGGCATCGGCAATGGGATCGGCCAGCTTGGACGAGCCACCGGGTTGGTAGTCGACACCACGGATGTAGAACCGGTCGTCACCCTTGAAGAAGGCGTTACCCTTGACGGTGATGGGAGTCACGTCGTCACGGGCCTTGAGGTTAGGAGCAGCCAAAGCGGTGGAGGCGCCCAAAGTGATGGCTGTCGCGATAGCGTAGCCCTTCATGTTGATGGATTATGTGAGTCGAGTTTGCTTTGATGGGAAGAAACAAGCCGGATGGTGGGTGAGTCGCGGGAACGAATGGAGACCTGCTGTGGAACAGATTATGATATAGTTGATGGGAGGGTTAGAGCCTGGAAGAAATGGCGGCTAGAGAAAGTAGGCGAGAAGGTGGTCAATAAGATTGAACGAGTGACTTGAAATGGGAGGAGAAAAAACAAGCGAACGATTGAAGGGATAGCGGAGGAAAGAACCCAAGGCAGGGGAAGAAGATGATGAGGAGGAGGAGGAGAAAGAAGAGAGATCGAAAGAGTAAGGAAGGGGGTGGTGGTGGTGGTGCAGGGTCGAAGGACCCTTAAAGCAGGCAGGCAGTGTCAGCCATCCCTGAGCCGTCTGCCCCATACAAAGATTCAAAACAGTAAGGATAATCCAGGTTGCCACCAGGAAGCGCGTGTCACACAATGTCTCCCAGTGCCTTGATTACCGGATGAGGCAGCCAAGGTATTGCAGTATGTGTGGGAAATTGCTGGGCGGGTCTACCGAGTGCCTATCAGCTGTCTCGATCGTCAGATCGCCCCCAGCGCAGGACTGCAGGCTCAGGGTCCAGCCAGGGACGGACTGGCCTATACATAGGACATAGGACAGGAGTGGAGTGGACTGTGATTATTGTGTGCCACTGTTATACTATCTTGGTGAATATTTGAGAACAAACAAATTGGATTCGTGTTTTTTCTGCTATGTTGACTGTATATACCCGTGTATTCTCGACGACCAATTGAGTCGACCATGACATCCTCGTACCTGGGAAGGGCGCAAAGAATGGATGGAGTGGAGTGGGGATGGAGGAGTCCTGAGGATCCCTGAGGAGCCCTGAGGAGCCCTGAAAAGCCCTGAAAAGCCCTGAACCCCGGCCGGGCCAAGGAAAGAAGGAGGGGCCCCCAGTGGGTCCGGCCACAAAACCGGTCCCTGGGCGGGAGAGCGAAAGTGAGACCCTGCCTGGCCTGGCCTGCCAGTGCTCACTGGACGTGGCTTGACATACTCCGTACTGCACTTTGCACTGTACGAGACATACTGTACTACCACACCCTGCAGAATAATATTCACTACTCAACGGTTGGCTAAGCACTAACAACCAGATCAAACAATTCAGCCTCTCCGAACATCCTAATTGTTTGAACATATAAAAGGGGAAGATCCCCCCCTCGCCCTCAAGGCACCTACCGATCGATGCAGCCCAAACGCAGCCATCCCGTTTCCCTGCCGTGCGAAGCAGATCATCTCCGAGCTGGTTTGACTCGAGGCTTGGTTCCTCCCCCCCTTCTCTTCGATTTTCCTTTGTGGTGTCCCCAAATACCTCCGTCGATGGCCGAGCAAACGCCCAGAAGAATAGGCTTTGGGGGGTTACGACGACTTTGTGTTCTGTCTCAGAGCCCTCAAGTCTTTTTGCCTGTGCCACTCGTTGGATGGATGAAGGGCAGGCAGGTATGGTCACTCGGGCAGCCAAGAAGCACCGGCTGAGACATGCCAACACAACACCCAAGATTCCCTTCCACTCAACCCACCCTCCGCTAATTTTAGGCAGTCTCCTCGCTAATTTTAGCCAACCGAATCAATTTCCTGCGCATTTACACATGATCTCTGGACTGGGGATGATTGTTTTCGTCGCGATTGACATCTGTGTGTAATGGAAGGAGAGGTTATCCCTCGATCCCTCGATGCACCGATGCCCTTAAAGTATGTGTAGGAAAGGCAATCAGACATCAAGATAAGATCGGATCAGTATAGGCTGTAACTTCTTTTTTTTTATACATCACCGGACTATGTATGTACAGTACAGTAATTTGACATACTCTGCCGCTGTGTAGGATACCTAGTATTCCTTTCCTCCGAACCCGGTCGGGAGTGGTCTATCACCGACCCCTTCAACTCTTCCTCATTAATCCAACACTCAAACAAAATAACATTAGATAAATCTAATCCACAACTAGGTATGCAGACACTTCCAATTTCGCTTCACCCAGAAAAATACCCACTCATCCAAGCCAAACACAAAACCCCAACACTGACGTCAATGCACAGATCGAAGCACGGTCCCACCATCCCTCGCTCTAGACCCCCGGTAACTGTACCTGTGTATCTTATTAGTCCCCCTTAGCCGAGTTCAACCCGACCGGCCATCAACCCCATGAAGGCCTGATACTGTACAAGTTAACAGAACAACAAAGTTCTCACCAAGACCCAACCCAAGAGGTCAGGAGTTTGAGTTCGCTCACCGAGAAACCCCCCCTCCCCGAAAACAATTTCGTGTTGAAGGATTGATAGCTCGCGTAAAATCTCAACTGCGGAATCCTTGGCCGGAGACATGACGAGCTCGGCGGGACTCGGGCTAGTTGGTCGAGACCGTCTCGGCGGGGTGGGTTGCCAATACACCCGAAGTCTTGGGGAGGGAGGTTTAGGCAGCATATTTCTGCTTCTTAAATTTGATTGTGTTTATTTAGGGTGTTAATGAAGTTGGATGGTGGTGAGGTTTACTTGTGTTCGCGTGATATATACTAGCTAGACAGGAGGAAGATTGAGATTAAGGTAGAATACTAGGGAGAAATACTTGGCTAGTACATGATTGCGTTCCTCGCGGCATCGATACTCTGGTTCTCTAAAGGATCGGAAGTTCTTCGTGACGCCCAGTCACGCACAAATGATCAGGAGTGGAGCGAGCGTAGGCTACTACTAGGTACCTACCGAGTAGTACCTAGGGAAGGTGAACAACTAATGATGGTGATGGCCATGGAATCGGTCCATCATGCTCGGCGCCCGCGGACTTTCACCTACTCGCAACGACTCAAATGATGTTCTACGAGCATGCTGTGAATCCATTGAGGCGCAGACGATTGCCAAGCTGGGATAGAGCTCGACCACCGAGGAGCGTGGGTTTGCCAAGTCGCCGCGTGAAACCGTCTGAACTATACCGATAGTATATTGGCTCGCGAGCGGAAAGGGGGCGTGATTTTGTTAAGGGATGCTGCTTGCAACCTCATATGCTGGGTATACAGAGTACTCCTTTAAGAAATGGATAGGCATCTATACATGAATTCCTCAGCTCTGGCAGTTGACATGACAGTCTTGTGATCGTGCGAAGCAACCTACTTGCAGTACGACTTATTTCATGATGGATACTTATCCGAGCTTGATTGGTGCAAGAAAAGCCGGCGGAGGATGAAGGATGTAATGCACTGGCTACTGTCAGCGGTCCCTTGAGCTGCTAAGCACCGACTGTGATGGCAAAGGCATCTTGCCATTGTTGAGGCAGCTGCACCATGATCCGGCAGGTAGCACCACCATAGTACTCACTTCGCTCGGAGACACAGACTCAGTGCTTGCTCCCCGAATTTACTACGTGCCGGGTCGCTCCTTCCCTGACGATGACTTCTTGCACTTGAGGTTGTAGAAGCAGGAATATGTCCACCAGACGGCCACCTGAGCCTGGCAACCTCCTCCAAGAGAGCGTCCAGAAGAGCGACAACAGTATCCTCACCTCGCCAACCACATAAGCCAACCACATAACTTGATCATTCTTTCTCGTCACCCCTTCGATTTGCACTTACTCATATCCGCCCAAACGAGCAAGCAAGTGTGAGTAGCCTCCAAGCACCCAGCATGTACTGCAGACACTGACCGTACCACAGATGCATTACACCACCTTACCCAGCATCTGGATCACCCTCGTCAGCACCGTCTGGTGTCAATGGTCCAAACTCTTCATCAGCCAGCCAGCCTTCACCAACCACCCATGGCCCTCCATCCTCCTCGAATCGCCCGAGTTCGGCCCCACCGGCTCCTACCTTGACATTGACCACACGCGCGAGGGTGCAGGCAACTTCCCCGCCCTGTCCTGGCCCTATCCGTCCGGCACGGCCGTCCAGGAGTATATCCTCCTCTGCGAGGACCCCGACTCCCCGACCGCCGAAGCTGTCATCCATGGCCTGTTCTATGGGATCCATCGCGCGACAACCGGGGTGCAGAACCCGGATTTCTTCATCGACCAGTCGCAGGCCGAGCCGTTTATGCTGCGGGGTGGATTCAAGTATGGCCAGAATGGAGGAAACGGCGTGTATTTCGCCCCGCTGGCGCCCCGGGGTCAAGGGCCGCATCGGTATTTCTTCGAGCTGGTGGCCTTGAATGAGACCTTGGACCAGCAGGGTCTCAATTCGCCGGCGAGGATCGAGGAGATTATGCGCGCGATCGAGGGCAAGGTGGCAGGATGGGGCGCTTGGATGGCATTGTCTCAGAGAGTTTGAAGCATGATCCGAGCAGGATGGAGATCGCTATCCGTTGTTGTGTTGCACAGTGTGCTTCGAGTCGTTCATCGTCGTCGTCGTTGTTGTTTCTCCATGAATTACCCCGAATTAGCCCGCAATCATTTGTAACACCCGGAGACAGACACTGGGAGCACCTGCTATCAAGGAAGTGGTACAACCACAGTTCACTCAAGGGGCTTCGTTCTGATCTTCACTTTCATGTCTTACATGGAGTAGTCGTGGACGTCATCGTTGAAGGTCGGCATTCTTTTTGCGGCGACTAGAGCCGGCTAGCTTCAACTTGTCCGATAATTATAGTATGGACTATTGGACCGAACGACCCGACTTTGGCTTCATTCTTGACCGTTTGGTCGAAAACAAACTTCTGTTCGTATTGTGTCTGGTAGAAGAGGCAAAATGACTGCAGTGCCTGTCGCGGGTCTCCAGGATTAGCACAAGGATAGGGGCGCTAGTCCAGTCCCGGTAAGGGCCCGCCTCACTGCGCTGGTTGGAGCCAATCAGAAGTGGCCACTGCTGCTTACGCTGCCCAGAATAGCAGATCTGATTCAGCCTAGCTAGCCGTTCTGGGACTAGAGCCAAATCTAATAAGAGCTAAGCCCCTTTAGCCCTTACAACGGATGCGGAGGGGAATTTTGGCGCTCGGGAAGCTGTAACAATGACAGTTGGTCTGTTGATACTGCAAGGTGGAGAGGCATCGAATAGTCCTCAAGAGTCAAAGGAAATCAGTCTCTCCACAGGGTGAATAATCCTTGATGTAGAATAAAACAAGGAAAGAGAGCCCTTGTCGGGGCAAGTGGAAAGCAATCGACAGGTACGGCACCAGTACCAGAGATGGTCAGGCACACTCCCTTGGCAAATTGGCCACCTGGATGGTAGTGTCGATAGTCCGCGAACGGTGGCAGAGGAACGGACCAAGTGGCCCAGTTCGGGCTTCCCTCCTTCCCTGGTGCCTGATACACCCCGCACAAAGACTCCTCGGCTGAGAGAAAAATAAAAATCAATCCTAAACACCCTGCCCTAGAACTCAATTCTTTCTACTCTGTAGAGAACTCATGTGCTCAACTCCGAGGTGTTGAGAGAATCCTCGGTTAGGAAGAGTAAGGTGGGGTAAACGCAACACGACTGATCTCATGGTGTTGTCATTCTTCTGCTTATCGACCTGTAGTTCTTCGGATTTGTCTCAGCGGTCGGGATCGTCCGCTCCAGTCTGACTGGCCGCAACAACTGAAACATTCTTTCTTCCCTTTCAAGCCAGTGAGGTCAAATTCAATGCCGACCTCTGTTTGCGATGACACCATGACACCATGACACCATGACACCAATCATCAGAACAATCTGCCTGCCAATCAGTGTCTGTCTGAGGTAGTGTACACACAGATTGTGAGACACATAACCAAAGCCAAAGATGCATGGCTGCCGTCTGACGCCCTCTATAGGTATAGTAGTAGGTAGGTTGGTGTGTGCATTGGTCTAATTGCCTGTGTTCGCGGCTGACGTTGACCTCGTACAATCGGTCGAGGAGCCATGACTCCCACGGATCGCATTCGGATACTTTGTTGCTTTTTTAAGGGCATTTTATCGCGACCGGGGGGGATAGGCTGTGCATCGCCGCACTTGGATAGAACCATGGTGCAAGATGCATCTGAATAACCTTGTTTCTTTCTCTATCGCTCTCTCCTGTTAAAATGCCTTTACTTCCTGGATGTTGTTGCTTCATCCTTTCTTTCTATGATGATAACAAAAACAAACAAAAAAGGCACCATCTTGTAAATTCGATCTTCTAGCGTCTTTCCACTCGTTGATCCACTTACTCACTCACTGGCTCCGCAAGTCCGAGCTAGACCTGCCTTGTTTTTCTTTAGGGCCTTTAGTACGTATTCTTTTTTTTTTTCCTGCTCTTTCTAGTTTTTTTTTCTGCTCTTTTCTGCTCTTTTCTCCGCTACTATTTATTAACTGGCGGCGCAGCAGAACAAGCCTTGTCGGCCATTTGTTTCACTCTCATCTCGGGTGGCTTGCAGTCAATCAATCACCTGCCAACCGTTACTATAATCAATTATTGCCAGCCCACTGTTGCAGGACGCACCGCACTGTACTGTACTCAGCCCGATTCTCCGTACTTACTCATACTGTACTTCTCTGCAACAATCCTTCGGCTGCTTAAGATCAACCTGCCTGGCCTCTCTCTCTCTTCCGCTTCCGTCTTCTTCCCCTCTTCATCGACCTCCGAGTATTACCCTTTTGGGAACTCCTACCAACTGAACGACCACTTTTTCTCTCGCTTCGATCCCCTGAACCTTCGTTTCTTCAACTTCAACTCCAGAATCCCACCCGATCAATAAAGACGTTGACGTTCCAACTGAGGCGCCATGGCGTGGTCAACTCGCCTGCTCCAGCTGCTTCTCCTATCCCTGATCGCCTTATCTGCGATTGCAGCCCCGGCCGCCGATCAATCCGAATCCGACGCCCCGTCGGCCGCCGACAGCATCGAAGAGACCTCCCTCCACAAGGCTCTGCATTTGTTCCAGAGGTTCAGCCACGGCATCTTCCAGTCTGACGAGGAAGCTGCTGCAGCTCTCCAGCAGGATGACTCGTCGTTGGCTGAACACTTGAACCTGGTCAAGCGAGCGGATGGCAACTCGACGGCTGCGGTAGAGACGACGAGCCAGGCCTCGGAGCCGGGAGCGACGACTTCGGCCGCCGCGGCAGCGACCACCGCTTCGCAGGCTGAGAGTTCCACCAGCAGTGCGGAACAGCCGACAACTGCTGCGGAAACCACCGCCGCTCCTACGACCACTGCTGCCCGCACGACCGCTGCGAGACCTACGACTAGCTCTAGCAGCAGTGAGTCCAGCTCTAGCAGCAGTGAGTCGAGCTCTAGTAGCAGTGAGTCTAGCTCCTCGTCTCCGTCCACGTCTTCTTCTTCTTCTTCTTCCTCCTCTTCTACCTCCGCGGCGACCACCTCGTCGACCTCTTCGTCCTCGTCGTCTGCCACGGCGACGTCGACCTCTACTACTTCTGCGTCCACTTCGTCCACATCTTCGTCCTCGTCCTCTTCTCACACCACCGCAGCTAGTACCACGATCCCCACCGTCGCGGCCATTACTACTACTACTACCTCTACTTCTGCTACTTCCACTACCACTAGTACCACTTCTTCATCCAGCTCACATACTACCGCAGCTCACACGACCTCCACCACCTCAACAACATCCACCTCCTCGACCTCCTCGACCTCCTCTTCATCCCAAACCACATCCGCCACCTCAACCTCGACCTCAACCTCCACCACCCTCGAAACCACCACCTCCACCACCTCCACCACCTCCTCAACGTCAACAACCAGAGACTCCCAAACCACAGACGACAGCGCCACCACCAGCGCAAAGACCACCCCCTACACCTCCACCTACAAGCTAACCACCACGCTGCCCAACGGCCAGCAGAGCACCGTCACCGCCATCACCGTCATCCACCCGACCGAGACCGCCCACGAGGTCGCCACCGGTACCCGCAGCTCCCCGAGTCTGCAGACCGACAACGGTGCCGCGACCCACGGTCTGGGCCGGGAGCTGTTCGTGATGGTGGGTGGAGCGGCCGTGGTGGCTATGGCTCTGTAAAACGCCCCTTCAAACCGCAGACCCACTGAATATTCCTTCTCCCAGCAATTGCATTTTCCGGCGTTTTCATTTTCTTTACTTCCAAAGCTGCCCCCATGATACCTCTCACCATGTTACGATCCTTTTGATGCACACAAAACACATGCACACATGAACCTGGCAAAGCATACATTACTTGTGAAATTTAGCCCTGGCGTATTCCCACATTTTGTCTCTCCTTTAGCGCATACTGATTTTCCTACTCCTGGGCTGGGGAAGAAGGGGGGATACTTAAGGGGGTGGATGGACGGATGTTGTCCAAAGCTTGTGCATAATTTAGACAGGTTGTCTTCGATCACTGATTGCCAGGGGGCTTGCCTTTGGTGACTCCCGGATCATGAATCATTCGGACATAATTTGAGACTTTTTTGTTCTCTCAGTTGTATTGGATTGGAGGTACCAAAAATGGTCGATTGTAGTGCATTGTGAAAATGGGTATTTTGAACGTAATAACATGGCTTGCTCCCCTTGCGTGCTGTCACCTTGCATGGGATGGGTAGGCTAGCCAGCTCGCTACCTAGCTTCCTATGTACAGACCTACCCGATGACGAGAGTATAAATGCATATAGGCATGGACATAGTGATAGTCCGCGCACTCCTATCTCTTCATGTCCACCCACCCAGAACGGACACGATTCGATCAGTCATGAGCGCGCAGAATCTCTCTTCTTGCTTGGTGCGATCATTCAACCAAGCCCCTCTCCTATCCAACGAGTATATACCCCAAAAACCCCCTCAGTCCACGGTATACTGTCTACTTCGGCACCCACCGCTCCTCCTCCGTCCAGAACCGCACCACACTCTCCCACGCGGGGATATCGCCGTCGCGGAGCAGGGCGGCGACGTCAACGTTGAGCGGCGATTCCGGGCGCGGATCCGTCAGCAGCTGGTGGATGGCGGTGAGGGTTGAGGAGAGGGTGTAGACGGGGCTCCAGTGCTCGGTCGTCAGGAGGGTGAGGCAGATCTCGCCGGTGGTGAAGGAGATGTTAGGGTGGCTGATGCGGGTGGTGAAGCGGATGGTGGGCGGGGTGAGCGGGTAGGACGGGGGGATGGTAATGTGGAGGGACCAAAGGCCGCCTGTTGCGATGCTTAGTCGTTGAAAGGGTTGTGGGGGAGAGCTGAGTGAGATCTGTCGGAAATGCGGAGGGGCGCGGGGGAGAGGGAGGAATGAGGGTTTACCTTCGTATGGAGTGCCCTTTACACCCTTCAGGACGGCTTCCCAGTGGAGGAGATCATCCTCTTCGATGGGCCCGAGATGCAGGAGTGCCTCATTGGGGTTGTTGGTGTAGTCCTTCAATTCCCGGAGGAGACGCTGGGTGGTGTTGTGCGTTGCCATTGTCTCAGCCTTCTCATGTGCAGAACGAGCTGCTGGCTGGCTGGCGTGGGTTAGGGAGTGACCGGAAAGGTGGTGGAATGCTCGGCGTCGCTGACTGAGCGTCGCTGACTGAGCGAGGGGTTGGCCTTTAGTGCGTGTGGAGGGAGTGTGAAAATGACCCTCCTTTTGAAAGGGAAAACAAGACTCTGCGATCGCTGCGTAATTCTCAAAAACAGTCTCTCACCAACAGACACATCTTGCCAAAATGTGACACAGCGGGTGGCTGGCACTGCACTCAAATGGAGTTGAAGCGGACAGAAAATACCGAGGTTCAAGTCGTGGGTCTTCCCCATTCAGTAGCGCCGGGTGCCAGTCTTCGTCCCGTGGTCTGGACTGGGCATTCCTTGGACTTGATGGGGCCCTAAACAAATTTTATTGATGCTTAGCCACCCTCGTTTCATGTGAAAACGAAAACGACATCCATCATTCATCATTCATCGTGAAAACCATCAGCGCTACATCCATGCGTACTTCTCGCACGGCAAAGGAGACGGCCAGAGTCGTCCAGGCCCTGTCGCCCCCTGGCCGCCGGCAAACACGCAGCTCATCGGCTCATGCCAGTGTCCTGCGCGGTTTTGCCTTCAACGGTGGCTCCAATGCGTCTGCGTCTGCATCAGCATCTGTTTATGCGTCTGCGGAGGCAGTGAGCGACGACGATGACACGTCGTCGCTGTCATCGGTCCCAACTGTCGATATCGAGGATATCTTGGAGCCCCCTGCCAAGCGACGGAAGAGCGCACTGAGCGCCCCTTCGGCCCGCAGCTCGCGGACTCGTTCTGCGCGCGCGCCTGCAGATGCGACCCAGACATCTCTGAAAGTTGAAACTACTGTCAAAGAGGAGGTCGTTGAGAAGCCTGCGGCCAGATCCCGCCGCGCGCCTGCCCGGAAGGTCAAGGTCGAGGATGGCACCTACACGGTAGAGCCTCCGTCTAACTGGGAAACCATCTATGCCACCGTGAAGAAGATGCGCGAGGACAACCCAACCGCCCCAGTCGACACTATGGGCTGCGCTGAGCTTTACTGGCGTGCGTCGTCGCCTCGAGATCGCCGCTTCCAGACCCTCATTGCCCTGATGCTGTCTTCGCAGACCAAGGATACGGTGACGGCCGTGGCCATGCAACGATTGCACACGGAGCTTGGGGATGGGCCTCCAGTTGCCATCAAGGCCGAGCCCGATGACGACAACGATGATAGCAAGGCACTAGAGCCTATGCAGGACAGCACCTTGAACCTGGAGAATATCCTGGCCGTATCGCCGGAACGGTTGAACGAGCTGATTCGCACCGTGGGCTTCCATAACAACAAAACCAAGTATATCAAAGCTGCTGCCCTTATTCTCCGCGATCAGTATGACTCCGATATCCCGTCGACGCCGACTGAGTTGATGAGCTTGCCGGGAGTTGGGCCAAAGATGGCGTTCCTGTGTATGAGCGCTGCTTGGGGTAAGCACGAAGGCATCGGAGTCGACGTCCACGTGCACCGTATCACCAACCTCTGGGGATGGCACAAGACGAAGAATCCGGAGGAGACTCGTAAGGCTCTGGAATCGTGGCTGCCAAAGGATAAGTGGCATGAGATCAACAAGCTGCTGGTTGGACTGGGGCAGACGGTTTGCTTACCTATCGGCCGGCGGTGCGGCGACTGTGACCTCGCAGGGACGAAGTTGTGCAAGAGCGAGATTCGAGGAATGGCTTCCAAAGTAAAGAAGACGACGGTATTCAAGGCGGAAAGTGATGTTGCCCCGCAGCAGATCAAGAGTGACGATGGCGGGGGCAGTCCAAAGGTGAAGGTCGAGGCGGAGTGATGGATTGAATGCGGGCCCTTTCCCTTTTCACCTTCTTCTCTTGTCGTTGTTGAGGGGCTTCACGTTTGAACTGTTTGGACTGTTCTGTTGTTCTGCCCATCTAGTCCGACATCTCTCCATTGCTGTATCTGTTGACTCTGTCACGTAGTATGAGGATTTGACGTGACTTACCGTGTTCCCTCTCCGCGTCCGTTCTTCGCTTTCTCTGCATCACATCTCTGCCTCCTCCATACTTCGCCCCTCCGCAACCACTTCCTCTTTCCCTTCGAACTCCATCTCATATGGGCTTCCTCAAGTAGTTTCAGTTCTGCCCGGCAGTATCTGGGACACAATTCATCTCGACTAATCGAAATCATGGGTCCGTGGATGCCTCCATGTGTCTTCTCCTCTGCCAACTTTAAGTCTCACTGACCTTCTGGTTCTGAGTAGCTTCGATCGATGTTCCGGCCGGGGATTTCCCTACCTTTGAAGATGCCTTCTTTACTTTTCTTGAGCGTGGATGGATGCTCTCCGCAAACGATCCCGAGAAACAGGCTGCTCAAAGCGGGGCGGTTGTCCAGAAAACACGCATCACGTTCATGGATCTTCCGCATGTGGCTCGCGTCAAGATCCTCGAGTATGCTGGACTGCTGCGGAACTGTGTGATAAACATCCGATACGAGTCTGTACGCAGAAAGCACAATGGTGGCACCTGTCTAAAAGGGGATCATCGTCATTATATTGCTCCAAGTCCAGGGATCTGGATAGAGCGGGACTGCAATCACCCGAAACTGCCCGTCGAGCTCTTCAGTCTCTCTCGCGCTACTCGTGAAGAGGCCGGCGCAGTTTTCTTCTCCCACAATCGGTTCAACGCACCCCTCGCCAGCAGAGGTGACTACACATCCTTTGAATTCTCGTTTGAATGGGGACTCCACCGTCTGCGTTACTTGCACTTGGACCTGAGCCCGAGAGAACACCGCTACCTTAAGCTGGCCGGTGGAGTCCACAGGACCACTCTACGGATCTGGATCAGCTTCTGCCTGCTGGCTCATTCTAAAATGCACGACCTGAAGTATTTCAGTATGACATGCAAGGTGCGCGAACTGGAAGTTGCCCAGAGACTCATGCGTGAGATGAATCCATTCCCAGTTCTGCTCCAGTGCGCGTTCCACTTTGGTCACAATTATGAGGAACACACTCAGAAGGTGATTCGCCGTGCTGCCTTGAGGGTGACGGACAATTTGAAAGTCAAGCCGCAGTTTCCGTACTTCCGTCTTCCCCGGGAAATACAGTTCATGATTCTGGAGCTGCTCCTGGTCGACCATCCAGACCCATTCCTCCCGAAGGTGGATAGCCTGAGAGGTGTCATCTCGCTCCAGGATCGCAAGAAAGCCATGCGACCCAGCAGCTTCCTTTCGATGAACTGTTGCCTGACCTGCTCTCCTGTTGGGGCCATGTGTTTCTGTCGTGGCCGTCACACAGCTTTTTCGACCTCCTGCAGCTGCCTTGAAAGCCCGCTCAACTACTTCCTTGTCAGCCGAGACTTCTACCGGGACGCCCGCCAGATATTCTATTCCCGTAACAAATTCGCTTTCCTGGATGAAGACCCAGAGTTTATGCTGCAGTTCCTTCACAAACTCCCTACCCCAACCACGGAGCTCATGCGGCACCTGATTCTCAAGTTTCCGTCTCACTATCGTGGTACTCCCCGTACAGGGCCCCGGTCCGATGAATCGACCCTAATTTGGTGGTCGGTGCTACGCCGGTTCATCCGTGAGCACTTCAAGATCCCGAACCTGTCATTGACCATTGTGGATATGGGCTGGAAAGGGATGGTTTCCGGTGAGCCCCGGCGCCGTTACCTAAAGAAGCTGCTAGAGGGGATGCTCGAACTTCGAGGACTGCGCGACTACCATCTGTACCTCTCCGAGAACCACGAACTGGCAAAGGACATGGAAGTGCGGATGCTTGGGGAGATCGTCTATCAGCGGCCTCGCGGAGTGGCGCCCTTCAGTGGTCCGAGGAACTCACAGCATGCACAATGACAATTTGGCTTCAGCGGATATGACGTGATATTTCTTTCTCTGTGTCTATTTTTTTTTCTTTTCCTTGTTGGAACGAGGAGGGAGGGTGGTCGTGCATTAGTCAGCACTTCGGAATATCTACTCTAGTTAATAAGTGGAGGTTATTTGTAACCGAAGGTAATTGTTCATAATAACAAATGAAAAAAGGGCTTTTCGTGCAACCAGCAGATGAATCTCGATTTGCAATCTCTCGTAGCGTCACCTATGGCTTGACCACATTCATACTGAGTAGTCAATCAGATGGCCCATGGCTGAGACTTTACTAATATACAATCACTAACCTTGTCAAGAAAGTGTCAACAAAGCAACATATGCCCCCAAAGGCCTCGCAGAAAGATCTTTTCTGCAGACAAAGAAGCATACACCCACAAATGAAGCGATTAAATCCAACTTCCCCCCTCCCCTCCCCCACTGCAACGTCTGCCTGAGGAAATTGATGACTAATCGCTCCCCTCACGCGGCCTTTTCCCCGCAGCCCGATGGTGCAGCTCAGTGTTTGCATCATTCTTCAATCCTGCACCGCGCACTTTTTTTGCTCAATTCCACGAATTCATTTACCATTCTATTCACCTAGTGTCTGCAACACACCTTACTCAAGATTGAGCCCACCGCATCTGAAACAAAACCACAATCCCTTCTCCCGCCCACGAAAACCAAGAATTACCGCCCCCCCTTCACCACAGAAGCCACACACGCCTACCCCACCACAGCAAACAACCACACAACCACACACACACACACCGAGCTTACCACCAATCTCATCACCTCTCCGCGCTCCCCTCAGACAAAGGTAAATCCGACGTCCCTCAAAATGAAACCCCAGTACCCGCCGATGTCCATCTCCGCCTTCGCAACCACCCAGCTCCACCACCTCAAAACCGAACACAGCCTCGAAATCGCCTCCTCCACCCTCTCCGCCGCCTCTGTCGCCGCCAGCCCCGCCACGCGCCGCACCCTCCAGGCCACGGGCCACGCGCTCACGGGCCTGGTGCTTTCGCAGACGCGCACGGGGTTGGGCGGGCGGCTCGTCGGGGAGTTTGTGCCGGATGCGGCGACCGCATCGTCCAATAACTCTAAAGGAGGAGGTGACGGTACTCAGGGCGGGAACAATGGGAAGGATGATGGGCGGTTACGGCTCCCTGCGCATGGCATTCGGGTCGGGGATGTGGTGAGGTGTTTGGAGATCAGTAATTCTTCGTCTTCGGCGGGGGCGGCGAAGAAAGGGAAAAAAGATGGTGGTGCCGGTGGCAGTGGGGAAGGAGGGAAGAAGGCGCCGGAAGGGGTGGTTACCAGGGTTGGGGAGGTGGCGGTTTGGGTCGCGTTTGGGCAGCAGGGGGCCGCTGCGTCGGCCGGGGCAAAGAAGGAGGAGGATGAGGGGGTGGAGGAACTGTGGGGAAAGCGGGTTTGGTTGTATGTTTTCCTTTCCTTCTTTGGTTATGTTTGTGTGGTTTGGGGAGGGGTGAAGATATTGAGGGTTGTGGGATGGTATGGCTGACTGGCTGACTGGCTGACTGATTTTATGCGGGGGGTAGTGTGAAGCTGGCGAATGATGTTACGTTTCGAAGGTAAGGGCTTCTTCTTGAGATATCCTGCTTGGTTTGAGGGAAATGAAATCGCTGACTTGTTGACGGCGACGACGGTGATGCAGGATGAACCAGACGATGGATCGAATGGCCAAAATGCAGGAATCCGATCATACTCACTTCATGCGCGTCGCGTTCGGACATACCACCCCCCTCACACCTGACTACGATGTCTGCAAGGACATGGAGCTTACCGATCCTACGCTCAACGACTCCCAGAAAGAGGCGATCCGGTTCGCGCTGGCGTCGCGCGATATCGCCCTCATCCACGGTCCGCCGGGCACGGGAAAGACGCATACCTTGATCGAGTTGATCGTGCAGTTGGTGCAGCGGAAACAGCGCGTCTTGGTCTGTGGACCCTCAAATATCTCGGTGGATAACATCGTCGAGCGACTGGTCCCCAAGAAGATTCCCGTGGTGCGCATCGGCCACCCCGCACGACTGCTGCCGGCGGTGCTGGATCACTCGCTCGAAGTGTTGACGCAGACATCCGAGGCGGCCGGGATTGTGCGGGACGTGCGGCGCGAGATCGACCAGAAACAGGCAAGCATCCGAAAGACGCGGTCGGGACGGGAGCGGCGCGCCATCTACGACGATCTGAAGCAGCTACGGCGCGAGTACCGCGAGCGGGAAACGAAATGCGTGGCGGATCTGGTGCGGGAGAGTAGTGTCGTGCTGGCAACGTTGCATGGGGCGGGCGGGCATCAGTTGCGCGGGCAAAAGTTCGATGTGGTCGTGATCGACGAGGCCAGCCAGGCCCTGGAGCCCCAATGCTGGATCCCCCTGCTGCCGGCGTCCAAGGTCATCCTGGCCGGCGACCACCTGCAGCTGCCGCCCACCGTTAAATCGACGCGCGAGCAAACGAAAACCAGTAGTGCGGAGGCGGGGGTGGAGCTGTTGCCCGACGTCTCGTTGGAGACTACGCTGTTTGACCGGTTACTGGCCACACATGGGCCGGGGATCAAACGCATGCTCACCACCCAGTATCGTATGCACGAAACTATCATGCAATTCCCCTCGCAGGAGCTGTACGAGTCGAAATTAATAGCAGCTGAGGCCGTGCGGGCGCGCCGGTTGGCGGATCTGCCGTATGAAGTACAGGCGACAGACGATACGATAGCACCCCTGGTCTTCTGGGACACCCAGGGCGGAGACTTCCTGGAGACGGCGGAGGAATCGGGGCTAGGTAAGTCAGAGAAGCTATTGGGAGAAAGTAAGAGTAATTCGATGGAGGCATTGGTGGTAGGGCAGCATGTTGATGCCCTGGTGGCCGCCGGGGTGCAGCCAAGCGAGATTGCAGTAATCACCCCGTACAACGGACAGCTAGCAGTATTGTCGCAGATGCTCCGCGAGAAATATCCCGACCTGGAATTGGGCAGCGTCGACGGCTTCCAGGGGCGCGAAAAGGAGGCAGTAGTGGTCAGCCTGGTGCGCAGTAACGAGGCCCATGAAGTTGGATTTCTGGCCGAGAAGCGTCGGCTGAATGGTAAGATCAGTTCTAGATTAATCTGTGAAGGTCAGCACTGACTAGAGCGGAACAGTGGCCATGACGCGGCCGAAGCGACACTTATGCATCTGCGGTGATTCGGAGACGATCAGCCAGTAAGTCATTTGGGGGCGGTTGTTGGAATTTTGCGTGATTGCTGACGGACCCTAATTGCATTACAGTGGAAGTGGGTTTTTGAAGCGCTGGATGGAGTTTCTAGAAGAACATGCTGATCTGCGCTATCCCGATGCAGGGACGTTCTTGTGAGAGGCCGCCCGCTGAAGATGAAGTCATAAAATCATTGCACTGCGACTGCATAATCCTCCGTAATTCGGCCTGGTGCTGCCGCTCCACTCGGCTGAAACAGACTAAATTCACCAATACGGCTTGAGTGACAGCAAAAGTGGTCAGAGCACGCCCGCTTGGCATCCATCATTTGAGAATCGATTCCTCAATTCACCCACCATTAATCAATGAACCAACAACAACTAAAGTCTGACGGTTTCATCTTCGATTGTGTTGGCACGAGCCGAGGACGATGAATCGGCTGCGATCAGATCCTGCTGATCCTTCTTCACCTCGTTATGCTCTTCGGTGCATCTTCTCTGCGTCCACAATACAGAGCCTTGTGTTTAGTCTTCAATCTTGTCAGGTTGGATACTAAAAATACCCCCCCTGAAACGTAAAAAAAGGCCCACTTGGGCACATGCTTGCTTCTCTGCTCCTCTTCTGCCTGCACCACCACCACCACCACCACCACCTCCTCCTCTTCCTCCTCTTCCTTCTTTCTTCTTTGCGTCCACTTTCTCTCCCTTCCAGTCTCTCTTTTCCCCCCTCTTGTAGTCTGATGTTTGGTTCGATCCACTGTCTCTCATTCCCATACTGCCTCCCCCACTTGATAGTCTTTCGCTCTCTACAAACAGACTTTATCTCCCGTCGCTCTTTCGTCTCACCATGATCTGAGCGTTTCGGCCGGATCTCCTGCTTCTCCCTGCTGACGGTGGCGCTCTCCCCCGCGGGCCTGTCCGGTCTGTGACTATATACCCGATCGTGTCGTTTCCGTCTGATCGATCATTTTTCTTCATCATCCCACGCGGCAATCCCAACATCCCGATATTCGCGAGTGCCCGTGAATCTTATGTTCTCTTCTAGATGTCTAACTTGAGTTCGCATCGGAGCTCCCCTTCACCAGAGTCCGCCATGGCCGACACTTGGGATGACACTGCTCTACCTCCGATGAGTTCGAAGCAGCTCATCGTCAGCACTCGTCGCGCGCGCCCCGCCGAGATTTCACTCTTATCCAGCACGTTGCGCGGCCCTTCCCGGCAGGGACCAGCTGTTCCTGTCCCTGCCGAGCCCCCGACCGTGATTGTGCGCGGTTCCAGTACCCATCGACGCACTGGCAGCACGTTGAAGACCGTCATGCGCAAGATCTTCACCCGCAAGACGCGCGGGGATGAAAGCGTGTCTCCGCCACCACGGGGAGGTAGCACCAGTCCGAACATGGAACGATGTTTGCCGTCACAAGCCCTAACCTTTGGATCTCGACAACAACACCAACACTCTCCGCCGCTGTTCACGCCCTCTAATGGCACCGTCACCTCATTCGCAGAAGCCCTGCAGAAGCTGGACTCGCACCCACGACGGCGTCGAGCCACGCTTCCCAGTCTGATCCTGTCGGACGATGGATCCCGCGGTGCGCTCGAAGCCGCCGTACAGGGCCGTCCTGTGAGCAAGCGCGACAATAGTCCTCATGCTAACAGTGACCCTCTTGATGTCTGCCGTCGCCGGGAGCGCCAGCAGCTCAAGCGCCGGTCGCGGAGTGCTGCCGCCCTGCGCGGTCTGGCGCAGGAACATCACCATCTGATGTCGCCGATTCAATGGCGTCGACGCAGTCTGGAGTCCTGCGCAGCGTCCACCGCCTATGGCGCACCCTCGGAGGTTGACCGTCCACCGACTCGGACTACTGTCGCCAGTGCGCCGGCGCTGCCCACTGAACCCTCGGTTCTGACGGAAGAACCGGCAGAGCCCGAAGACACTGAGCCAGAGGAGGCTGCCATGGAAACAGAGGCGGAAGCTGAGCCCGAGCCCGAACCAGAGGACCCGGTTTCAACCAATGCCGGCACTCTCGTCACTTCTCTGCAACATGATGAGCACATCACGCTAGAGCAGCGGCTCAACATCCTGGAAGTCAAGATGATCGACCTGGAGTTCGCCATTGCCCGTCTGCAAACCGACCGCAGTGAAAGTCCCGCCGAATCTCGGCGGGCTGCATCACCCGTCAAGCGACATCGCCGCAAACAATCAGCGGGGCCGAACAAGATGCCTCCACCCATCCCTACTCAAGACACTCTCCTCCCAGACCGCCCATCCAGCACAAGCACCCTTCGTCCGACTCAACTCCACCGCTCACGTACCTTACAGGCCCCCTCCTCGACATCCTTAACCGACCACAGCACCATCTCAGTCGAACAGTACAGCGCCTTAGTCATGCTGCTGCGGCGCGAACAGACCGCCCGACGCAGCCTCGAGCAGCAGGTCGCCGGTCTTCGCGAAGATATGGAGCAGCTGACGCAGATGGCGCGTGAGTCGATGGGGTTGGGCATGGGACCGATATACCCGATCCCGATCTCTGATCTCCAGGATTTCCGACGTATGCGGCCAGGCGGGGGACTGTCATCGAGCGAGTCTTCTCGGCCGGAGACTGTCGGTGTGCCGGGCGAAAGCGACTCGGAGTGGGAGCGCAACGAGCTGTCGAGCAATAAACCATTGCCTGTTAAACCCGCCCCGGAGGTGATTTCGTCGCGATGGTCGCCGGGTCGCCGAATGGAACTGGGTGGGATGATATGATTGTGGCGGATTCTCCCCTCTTAACGACTTGTGATGCATGGTGTACTGTATATACTGTATATAGCCTGATTTCCGACTTAACAGATCACAGGATGATTAGAAAAGTCTATGATAGGAGTACTTATTACCTAGTTAGTTTTAGTGTATATACTTTACCAATATATTTAACAAACATACTCTGAACGATAGTTTATTTAGGGAATGTAGAACTTGAGAGCATTGCTCAATGGTTCTGTTAGTACACAGCTTAGCCCTTGCCAGCGCAGTCGAAACCAGACCAGGATACCAAGTAACAAAGACGTCCGTCTCGTCCCTGTCCAAAAGACATCCAGGTTGTTGGATGCCTTTGTCTCTGTAGGGTATTGTATACCCCCTTTGCCATGCATTCTTTGTGCATTCACCCCCAACTCAAAGCTCAGCACATAGATCATTCAACAACCCAAATGTCATCCGTAGAATCCTTCACCAGAAGGGCGACTTCCTGTATATCCGTAGCTAACAAAGCCAAGACGAGTATCGAAGCGCTTTCCACAAAGCACTTATATAGACCTCGCTGTGATCCGTTCTCTGCAGAATATTCCATCTCACCCAGCACTCGGGGAACCAACCATCTCCTTCCACCAAGCCACCATGCAGGAACTTAGTCCAGACCTAATGCTGTCGCCAGAGGGCTGTGAATCCCTCGAGCTTTTGCTCCTCCCACCTGCAATGCTCAGCTTGGATAATGTCGAAGAGACACTGCCCGGACCACTAACTCTGGACGCGGATCCACCCCCAGCGGCAGCATGGCAGGCACCCCCCGTCATCACACTGGATCCTCCTCCGCCTTCCTCACCACCCCCAATCCCAGCACCAACCCCCGCAACCCCATCCCCATTGTTGCTCCTCCCACCCCAGCATACCCCAACCCAAACCCCTGCCCAGGCCCCTCCACATCCACCATCAAACCCTCACCCTCCCACGGCACCAATCGACCGAACAACAACCCCATCGCCAGCCCCCCAAGCCCAAGCCCCCAGAACAACCCCCCTCCTCCCCCCCACAGTTCCCGGAATAACCCCCCTTCCCCTCCCCCTCCTTCCAGAGAACCCCAAAGGATCCATAGTCGCAACCTGGATCCGCACTCTCACCCCCTACTTCCCCCGGGCCGCTGGCTTCGCCATCTTCCCCACCATCAAGGTCTGCCCGCGCACCCACGTCATGTACGACCTGGTCATCGTGTACGCCGGCCGCACGGGCCCTTACCTCACGACCGTGATGGGGTACGATCGTCCGCCCGAGCCGGATGCGTGGGCTCGGCGCGTGCAGGTGCTGCAGGATGAGTGGCGACGCGGGGTGGCGGGGGAGATGCCGGTTTATGGGGCGGTTTGGGTGGAGGATGAGGTGCGGTGGTTTTATGGGGGTGGGAGCTGAGAGGGGGGGGGGGGGGGGATGGGCGTGGTGGTGGTCGTGGTGGTGGTGGTGATGGGTTTGGGTTTGGGTTTGGGGTAAGTATTGTGCAGCTGCTCTTCGTTAGATGTTGTGTTATTCAGGTTTTATGTAATGGATAAACTAGAGCTTCTACATTTCTGGACTCTCTTTCTTCAGTATTACGACTCGTAGGACATGTGCTGTTTGGGAGACCTCTCTTGTTTCGGTCTTATTGTGCCTAAAATTTGTGGCTTTGATGGCGGTTTTGAAAGTGAAATTATATATATGCTAGGCGGGTGGGGAGAGAATCGCACTTCCTCATCCATGGTGCGTCTGGAACAAAGAAAGAAGAAAAATCTTTCTTGTGCCCGCAGGTTATGGTTGATATTGCCTCTGAAACAGCATGATCATCATACAATTCTCGTGGTTGGTGGGTTGCTGAGAAGGGACCTAAAATAGGAGTTGAAGCTGAGGTCCGAGGAGGATGAAGTGTCGGGGTGGAAAGTGACATGCAGTCGGAATTCGATCTTCATTCTATCCGTATATGATTCAATGCGAGTATGGTATTATACCTCCACGAAGTAGAGTCATACACTCTTCATCGTCCCAGATAAGAACAACTCCTGATGTGGATTACTTGGAGTTCTTCCCGGATAGCCTGGAATCCACCGTCTTCACGCTTCCTCGGAACGCTTCCCGACACTACTTCTGGCTACAACTTGTAGGTGAAGAAAAAAATGTTTTCATCCTCACACCGAGACAAGGATACTGTACATATATCGCAGAAAAGCTGCATCAGAAGTATACCAAATAAGAACACAATTCACTGTATATCACACAGCACTATTCCAGATAGACATCATATAATACATGTCAACATGTAGACAGAAGACGATAGTAGTAAGCCACTGCTGGCATTAAACGCCAGACAGCTGGGGACAGGATGGTATCAAGAAAGCAATATTCTATTAACATGAAAAACCACCAAAAGGGTATAAAGCAAAGAGAGTCTAAGGTCATCGCAGTAAAAGGCTTGAGCGAGGAAGAACAGCGAAAACCGTAAGGCGAGGGTCCATCCTCTCGAGTGGTGAGGAGGGAAACTAGAAATTATGGATGTTGGCTGGAATCACGTCCATCAAGGTACTTATAATCATCATATCATCATCAATTTGGTGGTGCGTCGTTCGGGGAATCGTCGAGAGCTGGGAAGGGCGCCAATTGCTCCATACGGCCCGTCCCCAGGCCCTGGCGGACGCAGCATCGGGATAGGAGGAGCTTGGCTGGCAGAGGAGCCAGGACGAGGGCCAGGAGGCGGCGGACGGCCTCGACCGCGACCACCGTACCCCGGAGGTGGTGGGTAGCCACGACCACCAGGGGGTCCCATCGGAGACATGGGCATGGGCGAGCGAGGGGGCCGAGGGGGCGGCATCGATGCAGCCGCTGCTTGTCGAGCATCGCGCTCACAGTAAACCTGGCCATACCACTCAAAGTAGTCACCGTTCAGAGCAATGCCGCAGGTGCGACATCTGAGGCACTCGGGATGAAATTTCTGACGGTCGCTCGGACCGCGACCGCGACGTTCGTCCGTCTCGAGATATTGCCCCTCAATACCCGTGTGACATGTAGCGCAGAGGGAGCCATTGCGTTCGTGGTAATGCTGAGCGCAGAACGGTCGGTCCTCAAGGACATAGAAATCCGCTGTCTGGAAGGGCGTCTTGCATTGGAAGCAAACAAAGCAGGCACGGTGGTACCGGCCGGTGAGACGGCCGTCGGCCGAGGACACGGACTTGCCTAAAATCATCTCACCGCAACCGCGACAAGGCCCCTTCGGGCGTGGGGACGGGCGAGGGGCCGGGGACGGGGCTGGTGCCGTCACAGAGCGGAGCAGAGTGGGTCGCTCGGGTTGATGATCATCTGCTTTTCGTGGCAGTTTCTCCGAAACGAGCGATAAGCTCCCCTGAGAGATGGCTGGGTCGGTCGGCGAATCCGGGCTGAACAGGTGCTCCGTAATGCGAGGAGGCTCGAGATCAATCGGACTCTCCGTGACAGGCTCGTCTAGCACGGGTTCCTTCGCGCGTTGGCCACCCTTGAGCTCTTCTACCACTGAGCCAAGGCGGCTGGGGTCCGAAGGTTGCCTCCGCGAGAGACTTGCTTCCGACGGTAGACTAGAGAAGGAGGTGCCGCTGCGAGTGTCAGATGGCGATGAATCCGACGACGTGATTGAGCTCTCGGCGGCATGATCCGAAACATCGAGCCCCAGAGCCCGGGCGAAATTGGAAACAGAGATATTGCTCTCGCTTGCAGAATCCGAATCTTTCATTTGCTTGTTGCCTTCTTCTGGAGCACTTGCGGATTCAGCATCGGCCGGCTGCAGGTGCTCCGAAGTCACTGGTTTGAACGCCTTGTACTCCACGCTGGATGGGGCGGTAGGAGACGCTGCTGGCTCATCCGGAAGCTCAAAGTCCACGGGGGCCTCATTCGGACTGGGGATAGGACTTTGGAAGAACAGCTCCGCTGATCCGCGGTTGCTGCTCAGTCTGTCGGAGCTACGATTTGTGTGAGACGATACTCGAAGCGACCCAGCCCCCACATGATCGATCTCAGCCTTGGCACTGGTTGGCCGGGCTGACACGCCAAAATCAAATCCGCTGTAGATTTCACCTCGTCCTTCCGGCTTCTCGGCAATCTCGGCTCCAGGGATTCGTGTTGGAAGTAGCAAGTTCTGAGGTGCTTGTGGCGGCACCGGGGGAACTTCTTCGTCAATAAATTGTAGGTGTTCGCGGGATACGCTGCCGAACGAGGGGCGCCGGCTGGACATGGAGGCCGATCGTTTGGAGGTCCGATGGTCGCTATACCGCGTGCTAGCCACTGAGGTCCGATAGCTGCTCTTGCTATCAATTGACGCTCCATATCGGTGGGAGACGCCGGGGAGAGGAGGGCCGTCTTTGGGGAGTGGAGGAGGTGGTATTTCGTTATCGGCCGGCAGCTCAACGGGTGCGTTCTGACTATCTCGACTCATACTGCTTGCATGTCGTGCTGGCTGAAGAGGGGCAACCCTTCCTGCTCCCATGGAGTCTAAACCGGCATTTGGACGTCTATCCGACATCGATCGAGGCAGGGGAAATGAGGCAAATGCAGTTTCCATGTTGATTGAGTCTGGGGATTGTGGCTCTTCTGGCAGAGGTGAAGTCTGGCTACGTTGGAGCGGACGCAGCGGCGAGCGTGGTTCGCCTGAAGTAGCGGTGGAGAGAGGGGATGGGACGAGGAGGTCGTTGTTGTCTAGGGGACTGTGCGGGCGCAGGAACGGCCGATCTGCAAAGTGGGATCATTGATGAGAAAGTGGTGGTTTCGGTGTTAAGTCTGGAGGAACAACATACTGGCTGCCAAAGGGTCAATACGTGGCGGAGGATTCATCCTCGCAGCTCTGGCAGCCCACGCATTGCCTGCTTTGGGGGGTGATCCAATGCTCGACTTCGAGGGAGGGCGAGGCGGTGATTGTGGGGGAACTACCAGGTAAGAAGTTAAAAAGTGGTACATGACGCTATCGGCAGGGGAGAGTCCTACCTGGATCTGATTTGGCACACACATGGTCTCCCATGGCAGAGATCTCGACATCGATCCCGCAATTGGAGCATTTGATCTTGGGCAAAAAGCCCATATCCATGCTGGGAGCCATGCTGGACACGGGAATCTCACGGGTCTATGATACCAGAAGGCACACGCAACGTTCGCGAGTGGTTAGACCATTGGACTGACGAACGGAGAGACCGCTCCAAACTGGAGAGAAATTGAGAGAAGTCGAATCAGAGACCCAAGGTGGTTCTTGGCCCCGGAGACGTAATGTGAATGGGTACGATAGAAGAGACGATCTGGAGAATGGGTGGGAATAGAGTCGCTGGGTTAGAGACGCATGGATACTGAGGAGGGAGCAGGAACACCAGAGGTAGGTCGGTTACCAACCACTCATTGTCAACAAAAGAAGAGGAGAAGGGGAGGGGAGGGGGGGTTGGGTGGGAAAGGTCCATCCGAAATACTAATAGTCGAATTAGTTTCGAGCTGGTCGGTTTGTCCAGGACTCCAGTTCTTTTTTTCGTTAGACTCTCTGGGAATTGGGGGAGCGTCGCTGTTCTGGGTCTGGTTTGGGTCTGGTTTGAATCTGGTTGGATCCCGTCGCAGTCAGCCTAAGGAACCCCCCACTAGTCCTATTTGGGAGGTGGAATTGGGAGCCTGAGTTTTGATTGTCCTTCCAAGTCCAAGTTGGCTATTCTTTTATTGTCCGTGAGTTACGGATAGTGCTTTTGCCTTCCCCTGCAATCCTCTGGACGGAACAAGACACAGAAAAAGGAAAGCATCTCCAAATGAAGTCCTCGTGTGGGTTTTTTTGGGAATGAAGTTCCTGTCAAGATCCACGAACCCTGCCCCATCCAGTGGACGGTGATTGGGCCTCACATCCAACAATGCGTTCTGCATGACTCTCACACACTCACGCTATCTATCTACTTCAGGATTCAGGATGTACAGTACACAGACTGTGCACAACAATCATAATTGTTGACTACTATAGTGAGGCTGGTGGTTCAGTCATGCTTCCGCAACCATTCTGGCTCGGTCTGGATCGTTGCGACCATGCAATCCACTTGAGAATCATCTCCCATACTACCGTACGTACGCACTTTGACGACTCCCAGCTTCAGGAGACTGACTTTGTTTGGTAGACTATCTCCATCAGTGTTTGGCGATTTATTTTTAAAACATCTACTCATGTAATCATCAATTTTCTCCGTGTTACCCCTGATTATCCAACCCTCTCCCCCCCCAATCACGAAGACAATATAATTCCAGGGGAATTCTTGAGTTTTCTAGAGGCAACACTGGTTCCGATCATAGCGAGCGAACAGTCCGTCATCTCGCCCCCCTGAACCGGTCATCCTCCACTGCCGATCGGGGCTCAGGGGTTATGCACACCCCATGGTCTGATGCAAAGGGTCCATTACACGGTGACTTACTCATATCTTCCTCTCCTGCTTCCTTGTCTTCATGTTTTGCAACAATTAGCCCCATTCCTTCCACCCACCCACCCGCTTCACGACATAAACAGCCTTGGGGTTTCATGATCACAAGGGGAGCTGCCGCTTTAATCCTGACCTACAGCTTGTTCGTTTCGATGTGCACGAGCCTCCCTCCTGTGACGCTGGGTCAGGTCTCCGAGTGATCGCATTGGGGTCTATGCCGATCATTAGAGTTCGTGCGATTGTCCATTTCCGGTCCTAATGGGGGGTCTACTCTCAGAACCGCATCCTTGCTTTGGACTGTCTGGCTTATTCGCGACCAAACAACTACCCCCAGATGGATAAGATGAATGAACCCCGCAAGGACAGGCAGATCCCATGCGCAAACCATAAATGGGGAGACCAGCTCTGGGGCAGTGGATCGGGAACCGGGAGGTCACGATACCGAAAATGCTGACTGTCAACCCTTGGTAGGCCCCCGCTGATCTTGGTGACAGACAATGCTTGTCGCGCGAGCGGGCAGCCGATATCGTTGACAACAAGCGGAAGGTGGTCCGTCAGGCGAGTCTGCACTAGTGTTTGGCTCAGGCGGTCCTCCAGTGTCTGACGGTCATTCTCAGTTGAAGATGCTGCCATCCCGTCTTGCGGTGTAGATCAACAGTGAGCCAGGTTGATCCTTGGCTTGTGAGGCCACAACAAGCGGCAACCACCCCGTCCCATGGTTCCTGTCCGGCGGCAGTGAATGCGGTGGTCGGCAATTGCACATCATGCTCAACTTTGAGTCTTCCAGCTTTTTTGGCAGTTGATGGTGCTCATGAAGTCAGTCAACTGCACGTCATCGTCAATGGCTGGAATGACTGGCCGTGAGGTGTACACAGCGTGCGGGTAGATGCTGACTGACAGACCACAAACTCACCTTTGGGGATGCTGGCACCCTGGACGTCTATGCCTGCACACAAGCGAAAGGACCCGGAACCGGACTCCGGCGTGTGCCGTCTCATCCTATCTAGCGCCGAGCCAGTCTACGAAGGTCGATATAGTGCGTAGGGGGTAGCATCTTTCGTATACAGACTTTGACTAAACCAAAAAGCCTCAATTGGGGGCCAACGGCTGTACCGTGTCTGGCTATGGACGGAAGAACAGAAGTGCGATCACATTGTTGTGCGATCGAAGAAACCCTACCTGCAACTACTGCAGCCCGGTTCCTCCAGCCGAGAGGTCAGCGCCGGGCTTGAGATGGTGGATGGTTAATTGGTGGAGGATGCTGAGAGGAATGCCGCCTCCCCGGTCGGTGGATTTGGCGGCCTAAGGCACCAGAGCCGGTGGTGCCTGAAAGCCCGCAGCGGGGGTGGGTCACCTGACATGGGGCCCCCCCAAACCAACCATCCCTTGTTCGTTCAGGACCAGATGACTAGGACAAACCCTACATGAACTAATTTAGAGGGCAGTCGGGGGTACGTACGACTGATGTCGTGTCCCAAGAACTCGCAAGCAGGCAGCATTATTCCAAGTGCGCGGTGCCGGGTGCTAAGCGAGGCGATCAGGCAATTAGAGAGGAGCAGAGCACTCCGCAGCCTCCGCAAACAGCATTACCGATGCATAAATTCAGGGGCCGAGTTGGCAACCATGGAACTTCTGCCGAGCTGGTCGTTGCTCACCGCAACATTGCGTCTTCCCACAAGACTGGCTTGCAGCAGCATGGCTTGGTCCTGCTTCAAGATTATGACTGCGACATGCTCCAGACTCAATTGTTGAAACCGAAGTCGCATGATCCTCCAGGAACCTGAATGCAGGAAGTCAGGAGGTTTTCGGTTTGTTATGTCGATGAACTGTCGGCGAAGCGGAGCCCCGCGGGTACCTGCCATCCCATGGTCCACTATGCCTGCTGCTGGTAGTCGATGGAGTCCAGCCCTGGCCACTTGTCCTTGTTCAGTCTCCTCGGTGGGTATGGGCGCGAGGCCAGCGGTCTCAGGGGTAGCATGCCGGGTTGATTGAGATTCATGGCTGAGGAGCACGTGTAGGCAGATAGCATGGGCAAGTTGACCACGATCTATATGCAGTACGTAGTCAATTAAGGAGTGCTCGAGGATAAAAATGTCTGCGTAACGCGCGATTCATGATTCTGAAGATTGAAATCACCAAGTAATAATTTTCACAGCTGTCTTGTAGAGAAGTTGGTCTCCCCGGGGCTCACCGCAATCTCTGGGAGGAAATTCTCCTGTACCAGGCTGCCAGCACATCAAGAATAAGTTACTACGGAGAAATCTAATCGAGCATACTTGCCTGAATTGGTCCGGTAGATACCTGTAGTTCGACGATTGCACAACTAGCGCGAGAAGGAGTGGGTGTGAGGGTCGCTTCCCCGTGCTTCACTCGTACTCGTCTTGTTCTGTTGGGGGGAGGCGGAGCTGGACGGGCGGACGATTGCGGACTCGCCCAGCGGGAGCCGAGCTGCTCCGTCCGTACCTGGTTATCTTATAAGAAGGAGCCCAGAGCAACTCCCCCCCCCCAAAAGCTTCTCCTTCCTTTCCTCTCTTCCACCCACCGTCAAACTTCAAATCTTCGTTCCTAAAACAACTTCCAAGTTAACCTTTCTTTCGATCACACTCTGCCCGAGGCGTGATCTCATACCACCGTCAAAATTTTCTCCACACTTCTTAACTCGTGAGTGCCCGCGCCCCGCCCCCGGATTACTGTCAACGGGCAGCATCGTGTTGCCCGGAACAGCAATTGGACCTTCCCTTGGAGCAAGTTGCGTCCACAATGACTTTCCAGAGCTAACCGTTCTCTTTCTAGACGGCACCACCCGTTCAACGGCCGGCGCTCATCCAACCGTGGTGGAGCATCGGACTGCGCATATCACATTCAATAAACGCTTGATCTGCCATTCTTAACCACTCTATTCCGAAACGCTTCCGATCCTCTGTCAATACAATGGCTCCCCACGCTAGTTCGGATGTTGTTGCCAATGGCGCCGTGAACGGGTCTGCTCGTACCGCTTCTTTGTTTACCGTCAACTCGCCCAACGTTGTGTACACCGATTCCGAGATCAAAAGTCAGTATGTGTACCACACCACCGAGGTCACCCGCTCGGCCGACAACAAGCTGGTGGCCACCCCCAAGGCTACCAACTACCACTTCAAGGTCGACCGCAAGGTGGGCAAAGTTGGTGTGATGATGGTGGGCTGGGGTGGAAACAACGGTTCCACCGTGACCGCCGGTCTCATTGCCAACCGCCGCGGCCTCAGCTGGGAGACCCGTGAGGGCATGCGTGCCTCCAACTACTATGGGTCTGTGGTGATGGGCTCGACCATCAAGCTGGGCACCGATGCCAAGACGGGCGAGGAGATCAACATTCCTTTCCACGACATGCTGCCCATGGTGCACCCCAATGACCTGGTCGTTGGTGGTTGGGACATCAGCAGCCTGAACCTGGCGGACGCGATGGACCGGGCCCAGGTTCTTGAGCCTGGTCTCAAGCAGCTGGTGCGCAAGGAGATGGCCGAGATGAAGCCCCTGCCCAGTATCTACTACCCGGATTTCATTGCTGCCAACCAGGAAGACCGGGCGGATAACGTGCTGGAGGGATCCAAGGCTTGCTGGGCTCACGTGGAGCAGATCCAGAAGGACATGCGTGAGTTCAAGGCCCAGAACGGTCTCGACAAGGTCGTTGTCATGTGGACTGCCAACACTGAGCGGTATGCCGACATTGTGTCGGGCGTCAATGACACCGCCGACAACCTGCTGGCGGCCATCAAGGATGGACACCTCGAGGTCTCTCCTTCGACTGTCTTTGCTGTTGCCTGTATCCTGGACAACATTCCCTTCATCAACGGTTCTCCTCAGAACACCTTCGTTCCCGGCGCTCTTCAGCTGGCGGAGAAGTATGGAGCCTTCATTGGCGGTGACGACTTCAAGTCTGGCCAGACCAAGATGAAGAGTGCCCTTGTCGACTTTCTGATCAACGCGGGTATCAAGCTCACCTCGATTGCCAGCTACAACCACCTGGGCAACAACGACGGCAAGAACCTGAGCTCGCAGAAGCAGTTCCGCTCCAAGGAGATATCCAAGTCGAACGTGGTGGACGACATGGTCGCTGCCAACAAGATCTTGTATGCGGAGGACGAGCACCCCGACCACACCGTGGTGATCAAGTACATGCCGGCTGTTGGCGACAACAAGCGTGCGCTGGACGAGTACTACGCGGAGATCTTCATGGGAGGCCACCAGACGATCAGTCTGTTCAACATCTGCGAGGACTCGCTCTTGGCGTCTCCTTTGATCATCGATCTGGTGTTGGTGGCGGAGATGATGACCCGCATCAGCTGGAAGGCAGACGAGGCCGAGGAGTACCGTGGGTTCCACAGCGTTCTCAGCGTGCTGAGCTACATGCTCAAGGCTCCCTTGACGCCCCCTGGCACTCCGGTGGTCAACTCCCTGGCCAAGCAGCGCAACGCCTTGACCAACATCTTCCGGGCCTGTGTTGGCCTGCAGCCTGAGTCTGAGATGACTCTTGAGCACAAGCTTTTGTAGGGGTTACCTGTGATTGCCACTACCATTCATAGCTCATCACTTAAAACCAACTTTAGTCACTCCTTAATACATTGATATGCATTGCTTCTCCATAATAACCCGTAACCTGCCTAGTTCACGCCTTCCTCTCGCCCACATCCGTATACGCATTCAACGCCAACTGGCCTCCCAAATGAGCATACAGCACATTCCCCGTAATCTGGCCCTTGCGAATCAGATCCACCATCCCGGCAAAGCTCTTCCCCTCGTAGACGGGGTCGGTGATGAACGCCTCCATGCGGGCGGCATACTCAATGGCCTCCCACGTCTGCTGGTCCGGCACCCCATACAACCCGGCATGATAATCCTCGACCAAGACCACATCCTCGTCGGCGATATCTTCTTCTTGCAACCCGATCTGCGCCGCCGTCACCCTCGCAATCCTCAACACCTGGGCGCGCGTCTCCTCCGGCTTTGCACTAGCATCCACTCCAATGACCCTCCGCTTCTTGGTGCCGGCCTCGTCCTCCGGATACAATTTTTCCAGCAGTTTAAAGCCCGCAATCATCCCCCCCAACGTGCCCCCCGTCACCGCACAAACCACCACCGTATCGAACCGCTCCCCGGCGGGCAGCACCGCCCCCGACGCCTCCTGGAACCGGACTTCGAACGCCCACCGCGCGAACCCCACCCCGCCCAGCGGGTGATCCGACCCGCCCGCCGGGATATAGTACGGCACCTCCCCGTTCTCGCGACATTCGGCCTCCAGCGCGCGCAGCGTCTCCTTATGCCCGATCCCGAATTCGGTCGGTAGGTGGATCCGCACGTCCGCCCCCATCAGTCGCGACAGCTGCAGGTTGCCCACTTTGTCGTACATGCTGCTGTGCGCCGTGTAGTCGGGGACCCAGTTCTCTTGGACCAGTCGGGCTTTGAGGCCGAGGTGCGCGGCGCACGCGGCCACTTGCCGCGTGTGGTTGGATTGTAGGCCGCCGATGGAGATCAGGGTTGTGGCTTTGCGCCATTCTCCGCTGGAAGGGGAGGGATTGGGGGCAGTGGGGGATTGCGTGGAGGTGGGTTGCTGGGTTGGGGGCAGCACGGCCGGCGCCAGGATGTACTCCAGCTTCCGGGTTTTGTTGCCCCCGTAGGCGAGGTGCGAGGAGAGGTCGTCGCGTTTGGCGTAGATGCGGACCGGGTTGGTGGGGGTGCTCAGGTCGGCGGTTATGCGGGGGAGGGGGTGGATGGGCGAGGGGCCTAGGGTTAGGGGGAGGCGGGGGAGGGAGGAGAAGGGGGCGGGGAGGGGGATGGGGTCTGCGACTGTGGCTGTGGCTGTGGCTGTGGTTGTGGGGAGGGTCATTTTGATGATTGCTGCTGACGCGGTCGGTGGTGATGGTGGGTTGGTGTTGGTATTGGTGTTGGGTGTTGGTGCTGCTGGGGGTTCTGGTGGTTGTGGTGGTTCTGGTGGTTATATACCTGGTTGGGGGGAGGTGATTCTCCAGGTAGGCAGGAAGTGGACTCCGTCATCGGCGATACTATTGCGTGTCTACACCTTACCGTGTCTATCTGCGTACCCCTCTTCTTCCCCTCAGTTGCTTGCGCAGGCGGGTACTGTCGGATACCGCTCCTGCAGGGGCATCGGAAGTTGGCCGACTTGGTCGTGATAGAGGATTGTGTTATCTGGGTGTGGGGGGGGGATAGGAGATAAAGGGTGGTTTTGAGATAGCGGTGGGGAATTGAGGATGGGTGATATCTAACATTGAGTATGATGTTCTTTGGTTCGGAAGGAAATCTGTTCTTGACTTGGACGGTGGTGTTTCGTCTGCTGATGGTAGCATGATCTTATGTTTCTAGCGGGGTACAGAGTGATCTTCAGTCTGCTGCCTCTTGTCTACCAGGTCCTCACGAGGACCTTGCGGAACAGCATACATATATACAGGCACAGCCAGAAGCACGGCAATAATACAGTAATTCAGATGGTATTCAACTATTCAGATTCAATTTCAGCTCATAACTTTTCATCTACGACATATCAACCACACAACGAACGCAGTCGCCCTGCTTCATCTGCTCAAACGCAGTGTTGATGTCCGCCAACTTCTCCCGGTGCGTGATAAACTCGTCCACCTTCAGCTGGCCGTTCAGGTAGTCGTCAACCAGGCCAGGCAGCTGCGTGCGGCCCTTGATACCACCGAAGGCACAGCCCTTCCACACACGGCCGGTAACCAGCTGGAATGCTGCACGAGGTTAGCACATCTCCCACTCAATTAAAAAAAAATAACAAAACTCACGGCGAGTGGAGATCTCCTGGCCGGCAGCAGCAACACCAATCACAATGCTCTGACCCCATCCTTTGTGGCACGCCTCCAGGGCCGCGCGCATGACCCCGACATTGCCCGTGCAGTCGAAGGTGTAGTCGCAGCCGCCGTCGGTCATCTCGATCAGCTGCTCCTGGATGGTCTTGCCGCTGAGCTTGGTGGGGTTGACGAAGTCGGTGGCGCCGAACTTGCGGGCCCACGCCTCCTTGCCGTCGTTGACGTCCACGACGATGATCTTGCCGGCCTTGTTCTTGACCGCGCCCTGGATCACCGACAGGCCAACGCAGCCCGCGCCGAAGACGGCGATGTTGGAGCCCTCCTCGACCTTGGCGGTCTCGACGGCGGCGCCGTAGCCGGTGGTGATACCGCAGCCCAGCAGGCACGAGCGGTCGGTGGGGATCTTGGGCGTGACGGCCACCACGGAGATGTCCGCCACCACGGTGTACTGCGAGAAGGTCGAGGTGCCCATGAAGTGCAGGAGGTCCTTGCCGCGCGCCTTGAAGCGCGAGGTGCCGTCGGGCATCACGCCCTTGCCCTGGGTGGCGCGGATCTTCCCGCAGAGGTTGGTCTTGCCGGATTTGCAGAACTTGCACTCCCGGCACTCGGGGGTGCTGACCCGGTGGTTAGATTGAGACTCGAGTCGGGAAGCCGTGGAAAACTCACTAGAGAGCAATGACATAGTCACCGGGCTTCACGGAGGTGACGCCCTCGCCGACGGACTCGACGATACCGGCACCCTCGTGACCCAGGACGACGGGGAAAGCACCCTCGGGGTCCTTTCCGGAGAGAGTGTAGGCATCTGCCGGGGGTCAGTCGGAAGAAGCACATCGCCGCAGTAGATATAGTACGGACCTGTGTGGCAGACACCGGTGTGGTGGATCTGGATGCGAACCTCGTGGGCCTTGGGAGGTGCGACTTCAATGTCCTCGATGGAGAGGGGCTCTCCGGCGCCCCAGGCGACGGCAGCCTAGATATTTCAAGTCAAATCAATGGGGTGTGCTATTTGGGGTTCCGTTAGACGAAGCTGCTCACCTTGCAGGTGATGGTCTAGAGAAGTTAGCATGAGAAGGCGGGTAACACCAAGCAAAGCTATGGAGGGGTAGCTCACCTTTCCTACGGTGTCGGCCATTGTGATGACGAGGGGTATCAGGTCAAAGATAGTAGCTTAGACGGACCCAAGGGAAGGCAGGTGGGGGGGGAGGATATAAGAAGGAAAAGAAAGATGATGGAAGATGAAAAGAAAGCGGTGGAAAGTAAAGCGGTCCGGGCGGGAATAAATTGCTCGAACCGGACAGGCAGAGGAAGAAGTGGAGTGGAGTTTGCCGATGAGGGGGAGGGGGCGATGAGAGGAGGAGGAGAGAAGAGAAGAGGAGAAGTCGTGAGGGGCGCGGTGGTTTTTACCGTACAATCATACAATTTACCTGCAAAACACCCAATGCTATAGCTTCGGAGGAGCATCCGAGGCTGAGAATCAGAGGAGCGATGAAGCCGATAGGGACTGCAACAGCATGCATAGCCACGGAATGCCCCTCATTCTCTCCGCATCAGCGCATCATCGCATCATTTACTTTTTCATAGCTGATGCAGTGATGGCATTAGTCAGGCTGTAAACCATGCAAACACGCCCACTGCAAGCTCCGTCCCCACTCCGTCCCCACCACCACCTCTTATCAATTGAGTCATCTTAGTGTGGATTCACAAAAAGGGCAATCTTTTCCGGCTGCTTGGCGCGTGCCCGATTCTCTCTTCGCCCGCCAGTCCCTATCGCCCTTATCGATTGTCGTCCAGAAAGATTCAGGTTTACGGCGAAGACTCGGCCTATCTCCAAAAGCATTGAGTTGAGACATAGTTCCGTTCGTGGTGCAACAGATTGCTCTCGGGTACTACTTTATCATCCGGGAACTGTGCTCAATGTACGGGATGGGTCGCTCTCGTCGACCCGATGTCGGCTGCTCCACCGCTTTCTCATTTGGGGGCAGCAAGGCAGGTCGGTCGTGGTGGTGAGTTTCAATGGTAGGCCGGAGTCGAAGACGCATATCAAAGTATACTCATGGTCTGAGAACATTGTGAAAGCACTGTCTGGGTTCGTCTAGCTAATCATGTAGGTGCGAAAGCCAGTCTCGCGTCTGAATGTATACTTCTGATGATTTTCTCTGGAAACGACATGTAGCACCTGCGCGGCAAATCCGCGATTGAGGAATGATGGAAAATGGCATACGAGGAACCTACCAACCGACCAGGAAAAATCGTCAGGAGTGGAGCCTACGTGTACAAAGCATTCCCCATCGACACGAGGCTTGCTTAGTAGCATGATCTGGTGTGCAGCCTCAACGGCAAGATCCAGTCCACGAGGCTTTTATGCTCCTACCATCGTGTGCAGCATGTCTCATTCGATCCGAGTTGGTGCACACTCAAAGAGCTCAGCCTACACTGTACGCCGGCTCGTACCACGCCTTTGAAGGACTCGTCGTACCAACAGCATTCCCGAAACAAGTATTTCTTCCGAAACCAGGAGCTCGTCGTTGAATTCTAAGATTTTATACACAGTTCGCCAAACCGAATGCAAGAACTACCCAGCAAGACAGGATCGTACAAAGCACCGGTTTACCGACCCGGCAGCTGGCCCTGCTGCATCATGGCCGCGTTCTGCTCCTGGAACCGCTCGTTCAACCGGGCCGAACCCTTCATGTACTTGTCAACACAGCGCATCACGCAGCTCTCCTCGCGGTTGATCAGGGACTTGGTGGTGAAGTCGTTGACGCAGTCATCGAAGCACTTCTGCACGAGCTTGGAGTACATCTGGAGGACCGGCAGGGTCAGCAAATGCGTGGAAAGCGGTAGCTAGGGATGGAATTATCGTAGGGCAGTGGTGAAGCTTGTCACAGTAGCCACAGTACAAACTGAGAGAGGAATCGAAGGAAAACAGGCCAAGGATAAGATAGGCACGCACAGTCATAAACTCCTTCAGCTGCTTTCTCTCCATGCGGGCAGCGAGCTCGCGCTGTTCCGAGGCATTGAGTCTGGGCTGGTCAGCAGATAATCTTGCGGGGGATCGTTTCGTAGTTGTGAATGCATGTCATGACACTTACCCTTCCATGGTGATATAAAGTTGGGTTAAATGGGAGAGATTTTCAGACAATCAGGGAATGCACACAGCAAGCAACTTTGATAGTTCTCGATGACGACCAGCTCCGGAGCTTCACAGCGGACCGCAGGCTCTGCGGCGATCACGTGCAATATCTTTGAGCATGAGTCACGTGAAACGATCGGCGAACCTAGGGATCACGTGGGGTCTGCGGGTTTTCAAAAGCACGTGAGAAATATCTGACTCAGCTGAAGTCCGGAACCTCTCGGTTCCGTCGATTGCTCCATCAAGCAGGACCCGAGGTGTCGAGACGCTACAGGACGACACAACCGCCAGCCCTTTGCGGCAGAGTTAAAAAAAGCACACGCCCAGCTGGGGTGTCCTGGACCCCGACTGTCCGGCTGGCCCCAAGAACCATGGTTGGGACTATCACCACCCTGGGATCTGAACGACGGTCGATGTTGGATTATTAGGGAGTGAAAGGGAAATATCCTCTTCCCCTGCCCCGTACGAAACTCTACCGGCTCAGTCGACCCAATCCTTTTCTCCCCTCCCCCAGGTCTACAATACAATCCGTGCGTGCCCTCCTCAATTCCCAGGATCGGCAGCGGCATGACCAGACAATAAAGAGGGGGGGTGAGAAGAACGATCTTATTGTTTTCCACCAACACTTGCGATTCTGCTGAATAATCCGTACGCCTAGGTCCAGTCTCGGGCCGTTTGGGATGACAGCCACACAACTTGGGAGTGTATAGTATACAGAGTAAGCCAGTTGCTGATCGGGTGAACCGCGGTAGATATCGTCATGGAGTGGTCCTCTTCTGTTTCTGTGGGAGGGGCACGAAAGGGAAAACGAAGGGAACGGAGCAGTGACGGAGCCATTCAACACTACCGACTGTATTAACTACGTACTACTACCAAGGGTTGCATCTGCTGACAGGCAGACCGACAGGCACCACGATCCTGGCCCATTCATATTTTTAGGACACACCCTGGGAGGCCTAGAGGCTAGAAGACAGAAAGCAGGAGACGGAGAGAACAAGAATGGGGCTTTCCCCTCGTTTCTCTTCTTTTTTCCTTTTGCGTGGCTCACACCGAGAAATGTATCAACCTGGCCCAGACCGTTTCACAATGAACGAACAGTTGGTCATCTTCATTCTTGCTTCTCCTGGAGTCACCGTGAACTGCATCAGTCATCAGTCATCCACTGAGTCTGGTGTTTTTCTTCACCACGTAGGACTAGACTAGACAAGACTAGACTCAATACGTAAGCCATGGGGGGCCTTTTTAGTGGACTTGACTAGGCTGCTTAGACTAGTAGTTTAGGTGGATTGGTGAGTGTCTCACTCTCTTGGGCCTCCTGTTAGTGGCTCGATCTGCAGTAGTTAGCAGCAGATTAATCCAACCGTCGTAACGGAATGATTGAAGAACCACCTAATAGACTGACTAGATCCAGGGCCAGAACCGTCGGATCATGGGTCTGAAGGAAAGGGTAAGACGGGAACAAAAAAGGGAAAGGGAAAGGGCCCTTCTTTTTCCCTTTTGCTTCTGTTGTTTCGTGCCAGAAACCCTGGTTCCCTGGAACTGGTTCGAGGAGACATCCATCCGAAGTGGGTTCAAATGATAATCATCGACATCGACATCTTTTCGATGCACCACGCCGGAAGATTAATAAGATGGAGAATTATTGACATCTAATCTTTTTCTTTCCTCCTCGTTTTGAATCATTGATAGTCTCAAGTCCAAGGTCCAGTACTACAGTACTTCCTGAGTAACTAACTAATCTATACTCAATCGCACACACACACACACACACACACACACACACACACACGCATACCATCCATCCATCCATTCATCCATCCACCCTCTTCAATTTACATACCTCAAATCCGATAGGCGTTAAGTACTAAAGAGAGGGGCGGGCTTTAACAACAATCGGTGACTGGTTCTTCATTATTATTGTTCCCCATCCTTTACCTTTTTTACTTACTCTCCTTCTGTCAAATTGTCACTTCTCTTTCGCTCTCTCTTCCTCCGGTCCCGCCCTCCAAATTATTATTCCCCATCAATTGACTGACGTCCATCCATCATCAATCATCAATCATCAACCAAACCATCCGTCTCCAATTTTCCTCCATCACCATCATCAATCCAGTACAAGACTTGAGTCCGTCTTTGGTCTTTGACGATCTCTTCTGGACCACTCTCCTTCCTCCGTTTGCCCCCCTTTTGCCGATGATGGTCATTGGCTCTTCATCCCCGGATCGACCAGCACGCACACCTCCTTTGCACCCTGTCGGAGGGTCCAAAAGTCAGCCCTCTCTCTGTCAGTCCACTCTTGAAGTGGATTGTGTGTGCGTGGTCTGCCATTGATTGGGAACGAGTGAACGAGTGAGAGTGTGGGTGTGTGCAAAACTGACGACGACAACGTCGAGTGTGATAATCTTCCTTCTTTTTATTCACCTCCAGTACCTCTCTCTACTTTTTCTCTTTACCTCTAAAAAAAAAAGAAAGAAAAATACAAAAAAAAAGCCCACCTCCAACAGTCATCACTCCTCCAAACACCTGACAGGGTTGTGCAGCTCTTTCGTCCCCGTGCCTATCGTGAAATTGATTGATTCGCTTTTGTGGCTTCCCTCTCTCTTACTTCCCACAGGTTGACTACTACCTGACTGACTGACGCTCTGGCTCCCCTTTCATCCCGCCCGCCCATCTATCATCCCTGCTTGTTCGTCTCCCTTTCTTCCTCCTGAATTCTTTTGTCTCCCCTTCTATCCCACCCTCTCACAACTCTCCCTCCTCGTTCTTCTCTTTCTCGTTTCCCTTCTCCTCGGTCGCCGTACACCGTTCGAGACGCACCTGGGCCCAGTTCCCCGGGTTTCCCCTCCCATTGTACACTGTTTCCCCGACGGCGCGGCACCTAAATCCGCTGCCTGACTAGCCCTCGTGCTATTTTGGGATCAACGCCTCCCAGCCCCGGAATTTCTTGCGCCAAAGCGAGGGCGGTGACAGCAGCCTCGGTTTTTTTCTTTTTTGCTAGCTGGGTCTGGTCTGGTCTGCTTGTGTCGCTACTTTCTCTATTTCAATACCGCCAGTGTCGCATCTCGCCCCTCCCCCCCCTTCCTCCCGACTTTCGTCTCCGTCGCGCGTTTCCTCCTCACCATGGTCACGGGTAAATCGCACGCGGGCGTGGAGCCGCTGCACCCACTTCCGCCCCCGACTGCCCAGCCAGACGTCATCGCAACCTCGCCGCCTTCGAAACGGGATCTGGCTTCCTGGTGGAGGCAGTTCAAAAGGAACACTCGCAAGGAGGAACCGAAAGGTATGTCTGCGTGGAGGAACAAAATCTGAGGCTGAGGCCTGGAGGCGGCAGGGCAAGGGTG